AAAAGGAGCCTCGAATATCGCCGACGCACTGACCCGCCCCACTGCCCAGATCCACGCGATACTACTCGCCCAGACCAGCCCGCTACTGACAAGCCTATTTACCCACGGATATCAAACAGACCCGTTCTTTACAGGAGGCAACTCACAGCAATTCGCAGCGGCAAAAGGAGTCTATTACGTAAAAGCTGGAACCGACCGCATCTGGGTACCAGGATACACGCTACTGCGGGAACTACTGCTACAGGAAGCACACGACGGAGTTACCTCGGGACATTTCGGGGTAGAAAAAACACGGCAGCAACTGCAGCGGTACTACTACTGGCCAGAAATGTTGACCGATGTGCAACGACACGTGGCATCGTGTCCCACTTGCCAGCTCATGAAGTCAAGCAGGAAGCGGCCGGCGGGACAATTGCAACCCATCCCGCCCCCAGAGCGTGCTTGGCAGCAGGTGACGATGGATTTCGTCACGGGGTTACCAGCTGGGGCGAGTGGGAATGACGCGATCCTAGTCGTCGTCGATCGACTAACGAAGATGGCTCATTTCGCAGCATGCAGGAAATCAATCACAGCCGAGGAAACCGCCCGACTCTTCATCACCACCGTCGTTCGACTGCACGGGATACCCGCATCGATCATCAGCGACAGGGACACGAAATTTACAAGCAACTTCTGGCGGAACCTGTGGCAGCAGTTCGGCACGCGCTTACAGTTCAGTTCATCCTATCACCCCGAAACCGACGGACAGACGGAACGGACAAATCAGACCATGGAGCAGCTGATTCGAGCCACGTGCGACGATCCGAATACGTGGGAACAGCATCTGCCACTCATCGAGTTCGCATACAATAACGCGCCATCAGCCACGACGCAACAGTCGCCGTTTTACTTGAATTACGGACAAGACCCAACAGTACCCATGACACCGAATCCCGACATCCCCGTCCCACGAGCACAACAGTTCGTCGAGATTCTGCAAGCAGCACGGACCAGGGCAGCAGAAGCAATCAAAAAATCAAACATCATCGCTAAACGCAACGCCGATCGCCATCGCAGACCCGTTACTTATCAGCCCGACGACCTCGTTTTACTCGACACTCAGAACCTCCGCCTGCCCATCACTCCAAAACTCCGCCCTCGATACTGTGGGCCATTTCGAATCAGTCACATGGTTACGCCAGTCACCGCGCACCTCCTCCTCCCTGCTGACTGGTACGTCAGCCCCTCGTTCCACGTCAGCTTACTTCGCCCTTACGTGCCATCCACCAGCCAACTCCCACGACATCGACCCACAAGCATGACACGACCACGAACCGAACCAGTCATCACCCCCGACAAGATCCTGAGCCACAGAGTTCGCGACCCTCGAGGAGCCCGAAAAGTGGAGTTTCTGATCCGCTGGAAAGATCGTACCCCCACCGAGGACAATTGGGTTCCCCTGGAGAAAGTTGAAAATCACCCCGTCGTGACCGACTACCTGCGTAGCCGCAATTTCCGAGACATCCACGCGCTTTCATAAGGAGGACCTCCTTAGGAGGGGGGGTAGTGTAAGGAAATTCCCTTTTCCTTACTTCGCGTCCCTGCTCAACGCGTACATCACTGTAGCACCTCAGTCAGCACCGTTACCACTCGCGACCATCGCATCATTCATCATCCCGCCCTTTTCGCACATCGCATCCCGACCTCACGGCTCGGCTGGTAACCCACGCTCCGGGCCTACGCTTCGACACTTTCCCAACCTCAGTCCCAGGCTCGTCGCGCGACCATTACCGTTACCACTGTAGTTTCGCTATATAATGTTCGCTCATGCCTTCGCTCATTTGTATTCTTGCTTCGATAGTGCAATTCTCGTTCGTTCACTCAATTGCACTCGTAACAGGGACTCAAATGAGCATCATGTGCAGTTTGAAACAACCTTCATTTCCAGGTACACTGGGAAACACCCAAGGGTGTGAAAACAGCGGTTCGGTACAATCCGAACTTCCCCCGCCGCTTCAGTCTCAGACACAAAACACTGTAGCTGGTCCCAACCTGGTCCCGTTTTCGTTGCATTCCCTTTGGTTGCCCAGATCGGGCATTTTTCTAGCACTCTGGAACCGAGCTGGAATCATGCCTTTTTGTCTTGATCTGTACTGTGATGCCAGAAACGGCTAGCGCTTGGCTTCCAGCCGTAGGGTGTATCGGTTCGATAAAGACATTCTGGTCTAGAATCTATCGTCTCACCTGAGTGGAGACACTTCCCTACAACACAGGGAGCCACATTCATAGGCTAACTATTATTTACCCTAATGTGCACTAAACCTCTGTCCTTGAAAAAGCAATGCCCGCGAGGTTGGCAAAGCTTCTCAAGACACTCTTTCACAAACATCAGATCCGATGATGTATAGCTAGCACTTCTGTTCGTGGCAAGTTCTCAGACCCACCACCACAGCATTGAGCGTTATGTTCTTGTCGCCTGCATTCCCCCCATTTTTTGCGCCTTCCAGTATCTTGCGCCTTTCTATCTCGTGTGGGTATGCAGGTTGTTGTCCCAAACATACACCTGGCAGCAGCACCCTGTATTCTTGTTCCATTAGGGTGCCCCACGCACTACAGGTGGTGAGGAATTGGGTGTTCGAAGGTCCGTGCCCGAGACGCGCTAAACCAGTTGGATTGTTGTCAACGGGGGGAGCGATTTGGAACTTCCAATCTGGTGTACAGCGCGACCCAAGAACCCTCAATCGTGAGACTAGGATAAATCACACATCACATGTGCAATGTTACATTCAAACGAGGTGCAGAGTTACTGATGGTGCTGTACGTGTACTGCAATTCGAAGCAGCTTTTACAATACAGTATGAATGTTTAGCGAGGTGGAACCGAACATGAACTGTACAGTTGAAGGTTGTGCAAAAAATGACAAGGGCTGCTTCATCCTTGTACACCTGATGCCTATTTCGTTCCCGTTCCCCATTTTTCCCGTGCTCCTCTCTCGAGCACGTGCTCTCTGTGGGCAAAATGGGACTGAATGTAGAACAGTCGCCATCATTGTGGGTATCCAAGCGTGTTTTGTCTGGGAAACTCGAACAACTTATTCGAGGTCAAGAATATCCCTGGTTTTGTTGTGGGCCAGTAACTGAATGTCGACCACTGGGCGTATGGAGTGGCAGCGGGGGTGTTCAGAGTGGGCGGTTGAGTGAGCATTAGGGTGTACATGATGAGTGGCTTGCGCCAATAATATCGTCCTGCTCGCTTCTTTGGGACTTGTCGTTGTCGCTGCCTCTGCCCGCCGCTTGCAGTTCTAGATGGTCGAATTCGACGCCTTCCGCCAAGAACTGGCCAATTCCCGAACGCGGAAATTACTTTACGTTTCCAGTCTCAGCTGGGTTTGAGGCAGGCTTCAGTTCCTTTGTGTCTGATCGCAGCCGCGGTACACCTCCGAACCAGATTGTGCCACGAGCCCGTGGAGAACGAGGTGTGCACCTCACCAACTTTTTCCTCCCCAGCCGACCCCAACCCGTGAGAACCCCACCCAACCCTCAAAATAAGCCCTTCTTTCCTCCAAAGCTAACCAGCCCAAGCCAACCCCACCAAGCCAAGCTCCACCTCCCCACCCCCACCCGCTCCCATCCCCCCTCCCTTCTCTCTCCCTCCCCGTCCCGTATCTGTAGCGAACAGAGAACAATGTAAATATCAGAGGATTATTCATATTTCAGATGTCTACTTCAAGGTACATTATACATAAGAAGGGCTTGATAAACACAACCAACAACATCTCACGAACTAGATCATCAAGCTTAGCAAATGCCCCGAAACCACCGTGAGTGGGAATGTCGAGGGGCAGAACGTGCATCGGTGTTCACATCAGTACAGTTCAAGCGCTAGAGATGCGTCGGGCTTTGTTTCTGAAGGCTCTTTTGAAATCACCTAGAAAACACATTTTATAACTGCACAATGCGACTCCTCATCAAAGCGGATAGCGTTGCAGGACCCCGAGATATTCTCCATATTCTCAAGGTGGGAGTCTTGGATGCATCCTGGCCCTTCAAAAATTAGCCCCAATAGCGAAGCGCATTTCAGATTCGTTGCTTACCACGAGGCACAGTGGGGAGACCTGGCGGCGAGTTCGAGGGGCAACCGCGAAATGCGCACAAGGGCACGCTGTGGTGCGCTTCTCTCCCTTCAACCCAGTTGCGCGGTTTCGCCTACGACGACACGAGCCAACAGACCCTAGCGCGTAGGGGTTACAATTCTGTACTGACTGGAAGCATTTACGCGCATAATCTTACGGAACCCATTGTGGTGTTAAATGAACCGCTCTCAAACGCAAAAGTAAACCAGATTGACCACATTGCAATTAACTTTTGGTCCCAACAGCAGCAGAGGCAGCAGCAGAGGCAGTGGTGTTCCCGCAGCAGCGGAAGCCCAAAAATTGGTGCACTGCTGTCGAGTCGATCGAGTGCTGCCGACGACAAGTCGTCATTGTGGTGTGGGGCTTGAACCGAAACCGCAGCAGTTGCGTAGCGCTCTGACGATGAGGGAGATGAGGGTGGTCTGGTGTGTGAAAGTCCGCAAGTGGTTGAGGTTCATTCTGCAGTGATCTTTAGAGTAGACTAGGCAGGGCTTAGGAAATTGGAAATGACGGGCGCTTTCCTTTCCCTTCCCGTTCGAGCGAGCGAACAGGGAAGGCGATGTGGGACGAGTCGCCTAACAAAACACCGTTATTATGCGTCCCAATAGTCTAACTTCACTATTGTAGCTTAGTTCAATTCCCGCTATCCGCGCCGCGAATACTCATTGGTCCCTCTCGTTTCGCACCAATGATTGGCTGCCTCTCGATTGCCTGCAAAAGCAGCCCCCTGCTCCTCTCTCCTCAGTCTTCCTCTCCTTCCATTCATTCCCTTCATCCCTTCGGATTACCCTCCCCTTCCCATTCCCGTTCCCATTCCAACTCCCACGCCCCGTTTCCTTAACTCGAAATGACATCCGCGTTATCATGTAGACGCGTACAAGACATAGTAATGGCAGCTACGACCGAGCCTATTATCGAACCAGACGCCTGGAACCTTTCGCGCCAAGACACTCTCTCCCCGCCGCCCCCGCCCAAGTGGGTAACGCTGCAGCAGCAGATGGCGGGTCACAAGACCAAACCATCGGCGCGCAGCCGTCGCGCAGTCGGCGGCGGGGAAAGCGGCAAACGGGAGAACGATGCGGGTAGTCCTAGCAGTAGCAGCGGCGACAGCGGCGCCGATAGTAGCGGTGGGGGCAGCAGCCAAACCAGCGATCCTGCTGCGAACGTTCCGGAGGAGTTTCTGTGCCCTCTGTCGCTCGAGATTATGCGAGACCCCGTTATTATCGCATCAGGGCAAACATACGATCGTGCTTATATCGAGCGTTGGTTTTCGGAGGGCCGTTCCTCCTGCCCTAAAACGAGACAGTGCATCGAGCACACTAATTTCTGCCCTAATTTCGCCCTTAGGAGCATGATTGCTGATTGGTGCGCTGCAAATGACGTCAGCCTCCCACCTATCACGCCGATTCCCGCGTCGAAGCCTCCCTCGGGCTTCGCAGAAAGTCCCGCCGCCAAACTCGCCGCCGGCACCGCTATGGCGACGAGAAAGATAGAGACCCGCGCAACCGCGACGGCGATGCAACCGCAGCAACAAAAGCAGGAGTTAAGGGAGCAGAAGAAGCAGAGGGAGCAGTTGCGTGATGGAAACCCGTCCGAAGAACGGGGGGAAGCGGAGGACAAAGCGGAGGGCAAAGCGGAGCGGCGGAGCAGGGCGCGCAGCAAAGACGGGTTCGGGTCCGTGCGCGGGGCCAAACACGCGCAAGGGGAGGCGCTGGAAGAGCGGGGGCAGGGGAACGCGGCGGAGAGGATGAGCGGCTCGCGCAGCGGAAAATCGGCCAGTGGAGAGTCCGCGGAAGACGGGGAAGGAGCCGCGGTGAAGTCGGGGAAGAAGAAGACAGGCCCGCGGAGGAAGAAGAGCGCGGGCGCGGAGGATCTCGCGCGCGGGGAAGTGGATGTAAGTGGCGTGTCCAGCGAGCGCGCGGAGTTCGGCTCCGCGGAGCGGAACTGCGCGGAGGAAGAAGGCGGAGCTGTGGGAGCCGATTGTTGGGAAGCAGCGGAGGGGGGAAGCGGGGGGGCGGAGAAGCGCGAGCATGCGCACGCGCGCACACTCGAGCGGGGGGAGGATGAGAGGCGGGGAAAAGGGGGGGAGGAGGAGAAGCGGAGAGTTGCGGGCGGAGGGGACGGGAGCAGGAGCGGGAAAGAGAGGCGGAGAACCGCGAGCGGGGAAGGATTGACTCGCGAGGGGAGCGCCACGGGTAGGAGGGATGGCGGCGCGGAGGCGAAGGCGGGTCTTAGGGCTTCTCGCGGCTCGTCTAGCTCATTCGGGAGGGGTAAGGCGGGTGATCCCTCGGAGCAGCAGCAGCAGCAGCAGCAGCCGTTTCAAGAGGCGCAACCTCCGCCGGATATGGCGGCCATAGCTGCTGCCGCCGTCGCCGCAGTAGACGCCGCGCGATCCTCCGCAAGTCCCGCCGGCCCATCCGCTACTGAAGGCGCAGCCGCACCTACCCAGCGGCGCATGCCGTTGCGCACGACTACTTCCGTTGGGGGAAAAGGCGCGCGGAAGGGCAGCGGCATTTCCACTGGCAGTTTTAACGGTCAGGATACATTTGACGGTTTGCCGACGGAAACCCGTCAGAAGCAGGCGAGAGCGGGGAGGGAGCGCGGATCACGGGAGGGGCTGGAGAGCGCGTCGCTTTCCCGCACGCGCAGCAGCTTCCCCGCGCCGGGGAACCAGGGTCTGGCGGAGGTGCTAGGGGAGGCGGAACACTGGCGAAACGAGGAGAGCGCGAAGCGAGGGGCGGCGCAACCGGCGGCGCAGACCGGCAGCAGCAGGCGGAGAGTAACGTTCGGAGAGGTAACCGGAATATGGGACGAGGCGGAAGGGGGCGGGAAGGCGGATGCGGAAACAGGGCCCACGGGGAAGGAGGGGAAGGGGAAGAGCGGGGGGAAAGCGGGCGGAAGAGGAGCGGGGTTGCGCAGAGCAGCAGCGGGGAGCGTGAAGCTGACGAGGCGGGAGAAGGAGGAGGTGATGGGAGGGCTAGGGTTGGAAGGGGTGGGTGGTGGTGGGGTAGCGGACAGCGGTGGGGACTCGCGGGGTGTGATAAGTAGTAAGGGCAGTCGTCGCAGCAGGAACGGCAGCAGAGATGGCGGCGGGAAAGACGGCGGGAGCAGCGGGGATGTGCGGGATGAGGTGATTAGGCGAGGGGCGGAGGAGGGGGCGAAGGAAGGGCGCGAGAACGAAGGGCGCGAGAAAAAGGCCAAGGAGAAACGAAGAGCGGGGGAGAAGGGGGGCGGAGCCGCGCGCGTGGGAGGGGAGTTGAGGGAGAACGAGGGGAAGGAGTGGGGGAGGGAGCGCGAGAGAGCGGGGGAGAGAAACGGGCGGCAAGACGACGAGGTGGGGGCGGAAGAGAGACGGGTTCCGCGGGAGAAGGGCGCGCGGAGGGCGGAGCGACCCAAGACTCCCCCCCCCGTACCCCAACTGAACGTGGGCTTAGAGGGGCGTGATGAGGGCCGTGATGACTATAACGCGGATAGAGGTGCGAGTGGGGACTACACTAGTGCGGAACTGCAGCAGCAGGAGCAGGGAGATCAGGGGGGGCAGGGGGAGAAAGGGGGGAAGGGGGAGCAGGGGGCGGGTAAGGCGCGGGGGCGTGGGCGCAGCCGCAGTGCGCGCACGCAGGTTGACACCCCTGTGGTGTCGCGGCAAGGCAGCGAGAACAACGACCCGCTCCACCGCCGCTCTGCTGCTGCTGCTGCTGGCGCTGGCGGTGGCGGTGGCAGTGGTGCTGCTGCTGGTGCTCTTGGGTCGAGTGGCTTTGGGGGAGAGGTAGCTGCGCGGTCGAGGAAAGGGGAGGGGGAGGGGCGACGGGGAGAGGCGGATTGGGAGCGGGGAGCGAGAGGGGATGATAGCGCTGATTCTGGAAGAGAACGAATATCCTTGGATGGAGGGATTGGGGGCGATGGGATGGATGGTGCAGGGCGGGGAGGAGGAGACGGAGGAGGTGGAGGAGGAGGAATGGAAGAGGAAGAGGGAGGGAGAGCAGGGGGTGGGAGGGGAAATGGGGAAGGGGACGGGGATGGGGAGGAGGAAGAGTGTGCGAGGGAGGAGGAGTGGGAGAGAGAGAGGGAGCGAGTGAGGGAGGGGATGGACCATGTTCGGAGCAACTCGTGTAATGGCAGGCACCCTATGGCTGGCGCAGGGGGAGGGAAAGGCGGAGGAGGGGCGTTCGAGTGGGGGTCGCAGAGGGGGAGGGGCATGGGCGCGCTTGCAGACGCTGCTGTTGCTGCTGTGGAGAGACGCGCAGGGAGCTTCACGGAACGAAGCACAGGATGGACAGGAGGAGGAGCAGGAGTATTAGGAGGAAGCGGAGGAGGAGGGGGAGGGGGGATGGGAGGGGGGATGGGGGGAGTGGCGGCAGTGAGGGAGGACTGGTTGGGGGTGCGCATGGGAGTGGACATTCCCCCTCACGAGCTGCTCCTCATGCAGCACAACGCCCCCTCGCCCCTTCCCCCCCGCCGCAACCTCGCGCGACCTCCTCTCGACACTCGCTCGCCTTCTGCCGCCGCTGCTGCTGCTGCGTCTGGTTATGGTGTGGGTCTTATTGCTGCTGCTGGTGCTGGTACAGCTGCTGCTGCTGCGGTCCCAGATCTGCAGGTGGGATTGCCCAAGGGGCACTGTAGTGTCAGTGCCAGTCACAGTGCCAGTGACAGTGACACGGGCACCACCGCTGCCGCTGCTGCTTTCATTGATCTCTTCAGCGCTGCTGCTGGCGGTGGCGGTGGCGGTAACAGTGGCAGCTGGGGTGGGGGTGAGGGAGGGGGTGCGGGTGGTGGTAATCACGCTGACATGATGAACACGCTCAACACTAACATCAACGCTAACGCTAACCCTGATGCCCACTTCAACGCCAACGCCGCCGCCGCTGCTGCTGCTGCCTATGCGTCCCCGACCCCCGGCCTCTCTCCCCTAACCCTACCACCATCACCACCATCATCAGCACCATCACCATCAGCATCAGCAGCAGTAACTCCCGTGCCGCCACCACCCCACATGGTGTCTATAGCAGCCTTCCCTACCACACCCAACCTGCTCCCCTCCTCGCAAGGGCACCGGCCCTTAGAACGCAGGGGCACAGACATGGGTCACATGGGGCTGGGGGTAGGGCTAGGGCTAGGGCACCACAAGAAGGGTGCAGGCAAAGTGGCGGATATGCTGGGCGGATGGAAGTGGAAGGGCGGGAAAGGGGGGGAGCATAGGGGGAGGGGCGAGGGTGGTTTGAGTTTGGGGCGGGTGGGAGGGAGAGAGGTGGTAGGTGTGATGGAGGGGGGCTTTGGGGGGGATGATGGTGCTGGTGGTGGGGCTGGGGAGGGGTTTGGCAGGAGTCGCAGCAGCAGCAGCAGCGATGTTACTGCTGTTGGTGCTGCTGCTTCTGCTTCTGCTGCCTCCGCCGCTTCTTCCGCTGCCACGTCTCCCGGTGGTGCTGCTGCTGGTGGGGCGAGTTCAGGAAGAAAGGCGAAAGGGGGAATCGGAGGGGCGGTGAGTCATGGGCTTGGGCTGGCACGGTCCAAGTCTGCTCTCCCCCCTGGTCTCCTGCACGTGTTTGGTAATGCGCTGGGGCGGGTGGCTGATGCTTCCCCAGGCGCAGGGGGGAAGCGCGGAGGGAAGAAGGAGAATGCGGGGCACGGTGGGGGTGGGAGGGGAGGAGCTGGGGGAGCGGGGGAGGGAGTGGGAGGGGGAGGGGGAGGGGGCGGAGGGGGAGGAGCGGCGGCGGGGGAAGGGGTTATGAAGGTAGGGGATGGAAGGGCGGAGCAGGGTTTGGAATATGCCGGTGCATATACGAGTGAGAAGGAGGAGGAGCGGGAAGTGATAGGGCCGAGAGGAGGAGAGAGAAAGCCGGAGAGGGGTGCACAGAGAGCAGGCGAGAGAGGTGGGGAGAGGGGTGGGGATAGGGGGGTGGGGGCGCGGGGTGAGAAGGGGTCTAAGAGAGAGGAGGGCCGGTGGGGGGAGGAGCAGAGGAGGGAAGCTGAGCTGGCGTGCCTGCTAGCAGAGGAGCGGGCAGGGAAGCAGAGCAGAGTGAAAGGCAAAGGAAGCGGGTCAAGCAGGGGGAGAGACGAGGGGGCGCGGGAGGGAGCCAGGGAGGGAGCAGGTGAGGGGAAGGGGAGGGGGCAGGAGGGCAGGATAGGTAAGGGGCGGGGCAGCAAGGGGAGTAACAGTGGTGGTGGTGGTGGTGGTGCTGCTGCTGCTGCTGCTGGTGAGAGGTGCAGGAGTGACGGAGGGGGTGGTGTGGTGTCGCTAGCTGCTGCGGGTGACTGGCTGGATGGGGAGCAGGGCGGGCAGAGGCAGGGCGACAGTGGCACTCACAGGAGGAGCCAGACCCACATGGGAGGCATGCTGCACCCGCACACTCCCACTGCCACTGCTGCTTCCACTGCTGCGTCCCCTGCTGCTGCTGCTGCTGCTGCTGCCTCTGCTGCTGCCTCTGCAGCTACGGGTGGTAACCGCAACGGGTACTCGGGCCACATGCGCAATGAGAGCCTCATGTGGACACCAGAGATCGACGCTGCAGCAGCCGGTGTTGGCGCCGGCAGCGCCATCTCCTTCGCCGCCGCCGCCTCTGCGTTTGCTGCTGCCTCTGCTGCTTCCTCATCTGCCAATGCTTCTCCCTTCCACCGTGCTCCAGCGTCGATGGGTTTCGGGTCACAGCATGCACCAGTAGCAGCAGCAGCAGCAGCAGCAGCACCATCCATGGGCAAGTACGCACCTCTTGCCGATGCGCTTTCCTTGGGCAGCGCCACGGAAAAGATCTGCGCCGCTCGATCAATACGGGCCATGGTGAAATCCCGCACGAATGGCGAGACCAGGGAGGAGCGCAGGAGCTTCCTGGAAGCGGGCGTTTTGGAAGCCCTGATAGCCGCCTTGGCTACACACACCGACGAGTGGGAGAGCGGGAGAGCAGCAGCAGCGGCAGCAGAGGAGGAGGCGGTGGTTGAGAACGTGATGAACGCACTCCTCGCGCTGCTCCTCCACTGGAACGCGGGCCCGGAGGTGGTCCTGGCAGGAGGCATCCCGTCTCTAGTATCCGTGCTGCAGCACGCGACCCCCGCAGCGCAGGCCACAGCAGCAGCAGCGCTGTACGTGCTGGCCAAGGACGACGAGAACCGCTCGCTCGTGCGCACGGGAGGCGCCATCCCCGCCCTCGTGCGCGTCATGGAAACGGGGTCGGCGCGCGGGCGTAAAGACGCGGCTCTCGCGCTCTTTGCGCTGTCTCTCTCCGTGCGGTGCGCGAGAGACATCGTGGGTGCGGGAGCCATCCCGCTTCTGCTGAGCCTCATCGGGCAGGACGAGAACGACGACGGCGGGCTGCCCGGGATGGAGGAGAAGGCAGCGGCGGTCCTGCTGAACCTCTCCCGGCTGCCGGAAGCGTGCGAGGAGATCGCAGCGCAGGAAGGCGGCGTGGGGGTGACACACCTGATTGATTTACTCGACGCGGGGGCGTGCCAGAGGAGCAAGGAGGATGCGGCGGGGGTGCTGCTGGCCATGCTGCAGTCCGAGGTGGTGACGGTGCAGGCGCTGCGAGCGGAAGGAGCGATTCCGTCGCTCGTGCGGATTGTCGGGGGGAGTGGCGGGGGAGGCGCGGCGGGGGGGAGTGGGGGAGAGGGGAGTGCGCCAGAGGCGAAGGAGCTCCTGCAGCGACTGAGGCAGGGGTGAGGGGAGGGGGGGGGGTGGTGGGGGGAGAGGATGGCGGGGGGAAAGGGGGGAGGGGGGAACTGGGGTAGAGGTGGGGGATGGAGGGGTTGTAGGTTGGGGGGGGGGACAGGGAGGAGGGGAATAACATGCACAGGAGAGGGCAGTGGACCAGTGGTGCAGCTCTGCCTGCCTACGCCTTTGTTGCCTGGTGCACGTGCACAGCAAGCTCGTCCTCTGCATTCAGAGCTGTAACTCTGTAAGCGCTCCTTTACTTATGCACATAGTGCATGCACTGGGTGGTGGTGGTGGTGGTGGTGCACTGCACTCGTGCCAAAGCAAGTGCCAAAACAAAGCTGCCTGAAGGGGTCGTCTCATCGCCATCGTTGTCGTCACCGGGCCAATTCTAACATCGTCGTCCCGTATACTAGCACACTGTATGAGAAATGCCGGTTGTTTCTCCTGTGCGCAAGTCTTGCTCTTGTTTGTTTTGACTAACCACATTCTGCAGTCTGCATGTTGAGCTACATTGGTGGTGCTCATGCTCTTGACGGATTTGCTTAGCACTAACACATTGCTTCGTTCTCGTGCTCTTAATTCATGCCCTCTGTTGTTCCATTGGCATAATTGTAGTATGGTATTCTCAAATAACATTGAAATCATAATTGCAAAGCGTGTATCACTCTGTCCTCTCGCAGACGGTAATTTGATCATTAGGTAGATTGCCTCGTATATCGAGTGATCATGCTAGCGAAGCTCAATAACTTCGTGGAAGTTCACCTGGCAGGACCTTTCCACACGCCAGGACGACGTCGCAATTTTCGACGACGTCGTCACGTTCTCCAAAAGTCATTCGTACTTTTGAAGCTAGCTGCCCTAAACCGGTCTTGCTATCGAGGGTCTTTTGGATAAAACTGTACAACAAGCGAGAATGTTTCAAACTCTAGCCTCCAGACTCCACGTCCAGCCAGTGTCCTCAGCTGACAGCACCACTTTCCAGACAGCATGACGCGACGATGCCTTCCAGATGCAACCCGACCTGCCCTGAACTTTGTGCAAACCTAGAGACTTCCACCCAGGCGCGTTGCGCACTCAACTCAGCAAAACCCACGCCTTGCCCGTCGGATCCGAGCTCCGGACCTAGCAACCGTCCGATATCAGCGGTCGAGTCGCGGCCCGAACGTCACCTCCAAAATTCCCGCTTCCAGGTCTCGTCGTTGTTGCCTCTCCCCTCATTTGGTTGCATTCAACCTAGCCGACCGACTGCCCTCATCGGTCTACGAACCAGCTCCCTCCTTGCCTCGTTACGTCCCTTCCTCAATCTCCCATCGTCGACTCCCATGTTTTGGTGGGCTCTTCTGGTTGTCACAGTCTCGCCCCTCTTCGCGCCCAGTCGTCGCTTTGCTTCTACCACACGGCTATAGGCGTCTTCCTGACATGCAAGGCGCACCATAGCTTTCACCACACTGCCACTCCTCAGACACCTGACACTCTTCGCTATCTCCTCCGCCGTCATTTTCGTAAGCAGCAGGCAGGCACGGCACCCGTGCAGTGGCCATGGCCGTCGTCCCATTGTCAACTGCCTTACAACACCTAATCATACCGCACGAACTCCGACTGTAGTTGCTATTCCTGGAGCACGGATCGCGCCAGGGGCATTGACGCAAACCAGTCATGGACCAGGTCAGAGTTAATCGGACCGAATCGATTCTAGTCCAAAATAGCGCCAAGCTTCGCACCACCGCCCAGCACGTAGCGCCAAGCCATTTTGAAATCCCAGCAGAGGCTCTGCCCGCTCGATCCGTCGCCAGCTTAGTACCCGTTGCAACGGCTCATAGTAGTAGTAGCTGAAACGTACAGATTCTCTACCTCCACTGACTCGTCCAGCCGTCGGAGCGCATCGCGTGAGGCCATTAACCCGTCCACCACGTGAAAAGCGCGTGCTCCAGGCGTGGTCAAGGCGTGGCCGAGGCGTGACCCAGGCGTGAGCAGTGAGCAAAGCGTCGTCCTTCTTCCAACTAAACCTCGACAGACCATCTATCCTCTCGCACTCACGCGCACTCCGTCAAGTCCACGTCAAGTGAACGCCTTCATTCTTCTTTCCGGACTCGTGCCCGCGCGGCAGTCACTCTTGCGTCATACCCGCTTCTGCACGCACCGAGCACCAGTAGTCCGCACTCCTCCATTGTTGTAACACGTCCTTTGTCCGTAACAGACGGCACGCGTTTCAGGGGGGTTCGCCGTCTAGCACTCCGCATCCTTCCCCTTTTAAGCGCTTACTTGAAGTGTCGCGCACGGCCATTCTGCGCTGTACTACTAGCACCTGAACGCCAGCTTTCATTGACCCACCATTTTTTGCTCGCTTCAGGCGCCGTTAGTAATCTCACGATCGACTAGTATAATTGGCGGCGCTGTCTCCCTCGACCTCGCACCCTTCTATCACCAGCGACAACAGCTCCGACTTCTCCGCCCGGCCTCCCCACCAAGCTTGTCCGCCGGGCCTCTGCGCCTCTTCCCCGGGCCTCTCCGCCTGTCTCTCTTGCTTCCGCCTTCCCTCGACATATCTGGTGCGCTCCGCACCCCTGCGCTCCGCTCATCGCCGCTCCGCTCTCGTCCCCGCGGGCAGACAATGCCTCCCGAACCCTCGCTGCAGCGCGCTTCGGCGGAGCCGGCGCAAACCCGCGCAGAAACTATCATCGGCGGAAGATACCGGCGCATTTGCCAGATTGGAGTGGGCGCGCAGGCGACCGTGTGGGAGTGCGTGAATTTGCGCGCCGCTGCTGCGGAGGCGCGAGCGCCGGGTCAGCCTTTACTCTTAAAGGAAACGCCCCGACAAGCGGTAGATTCTCCTCCGCGATACTCAAGTGTCGCGGACTCGTCGTCTCCAGGAGTCGCCGAATCTTCGCAAAGAGTCGCCTGCAAGAGCTTTCGACTTTCCCGGGCAGCCGCCGCCACTGCTGCTTTACCGTTCAACGCCTTCAGCTCACCGTCTGTCGCGGCTTTTGAGGGACCTCGAAAGGCGTTTGACTCTCTCACCGCATTCAACGGCGGCCATCGCGACTCGGAGCTCCTTCACCTTCGCCAATCGCCGCTGATGCGGCTAGATGCCTTCGCGGAGGTTTCTTCGCTGGAAGTGGTAACCGGGCATCCGAATATCGTTCGCCTGCTTGACGTCGTCGTAGAGCCGCCACGTCAGATTCTACCCGAAGCTGTTACTACCAACCGAAACCGCGAAACGTCATCTTGCGGTCCGGCTGAAGCTGATACCGCAGTTCCTTATGCTACTAGTCCTAAGACTAGTGGTGATAGTAGTCCCAGTAGTAACCGCTGGAAGGTACACGTGATTATGGAGTATACAGATTCCGAGGACCTACTAACGGAGATCGTGAAACGTGGTCCGTTGACGGAGAGCGACGCGGCCGCCGTTTTCCGTCAGATCGCGTCCGCCGTGGCGTTTTGCCACGCGAGCGGCGTCATTCACCGCGACATCAAGCCAGACAACGTGCTGCTCACTCGACCGCCGTCGCCGTCCGTATCGCCGCCACTGTCGCCGTCGCCGTCGCCGTCGTCACCGCGACTGGCGCCAACGCCTCCACGATCGCCGTCGAAGTCGCCGTGTTGTTCGATTGCGATTGACCAAATAGAGGATTGGAACGCGGGCTCTAGTGGCGCAGTTAGCAGTGGCAGCAGCGGCAGCAGCAGCGGCAGCAGAAGCAGCAGCGGCAGGAGCGGCAGCAGCAGCGGCTGCAGCAGCGGCAGCAGCATTGCGACGAGGAGGGTTGATGCTCGGCCGCGCGACTCCCCTCCCTGCACCCCTAACCCTGCCTCTGCTCCCTACCCGCTGATTCTCGAGCCGCCTTGCCATCCCCACTCATACCGCCCGCATTCGCTCCCCCCCTTTCCAAATCTCTCTCCCCTCTGTCCCTTGTCGTCCCTCTCGCCCCTCTCTCCTCTCTCGCCCGAGGCATCCCCTCCTCCCGCCGCCTCCCACACGCGCCGCTGCCGCGCGTCGTGCTCCTTGCCTCCCCCCTCCTCATCCTGCTCCTCCTGCTCCTCTCCCCCCTCCTCCTCCGCGTACCCTCAGTCCTCCCCATGCTCGTCCCCCCCCCGCTCCCCGCTCTACTCCACACACCCATCCGCGCCTTCCGCGCGCGCCCCCTCCTCCGCGCAAGCCGCTTCTCCCGCCCAATCCAACCACTTTCCCGCTCGCTCTCCCCACTCTGCCTCACCAGGGGCTGGAGGATCACCAAAACAACCTCCTCCTACCGCTTCCAACCGCTCTGACAAACCTTTCGACCGTTCCAGCTATATTGTGAAGCTAGCTGATTTTGCACTGTCAACACACGTGGAGGGGGGCCCTAGGGGGAGGAAAACCGACGCAGGGGCAGGCACTAGACTGTATATGGCCCCGGAAATGCTTGGGGGAGGGGAGGGGAAGAAGAGGAGCGGTGGGGGGGGAGGAGGAGGGGAGGGGTATGGTTGCAAGGTGGATGTATGGAGTATGGGTATCACTCTTGCTGCTATGCTCACTGGTCGAATCCCGGGAACTCCGGTGAATTTCAATGGGGTGGTTTGGCAAGGGGTGTCGGCGGGAGCGAAGGATCTGATCCGTCGGATGCTCCAGGAGGACCCGGATCGACGGCTGAGCTCGTTTGAGGTGTTGGAGCATCGGTGGTTGCTGCAGGCAGGAGGGAAGAAGCCAGGGAACAGTGATCTTGCTCCCACCAGCATTGCTGCTGCTGCTGCTGCTGCTGCTGCTGCTGCTTCTGCTGCTGGTGCTGCTACTGCCTCTCCTGCTGCTACCACCACCGCTGCTGCTGCTGCTGCACCGTCTGCTAGTGCGGCTATAGCAGGGTGGGCAAGCCTCCTCCCCATGCGCCCACGCACCACTACCGCAGGGGGGCATTGTGACCCAGCAGCGCGGCAGCAGGCGCCAAAAGCGCTGTCAGTCACGGCCTGGCAGCCTTGGTATGGAAGGCAGAGCATAGGCGCGTGGGCTTGAAGGCTTGAGGATTTGGCGGGGGGCCTGGAGACGGGTTTTAGGCGTTTAGGCGACCCACTCACCCACTCGCACACGCACACTTCCACCCTGCCACCCTACGAACCACGTCTTTCAAGATTAGTGGTGCTGACAGAAAGGAATGTCAGATCATGAGACACCTTCCAGCGAGCAGCAGCGTAGGTGAAGGTAGTGTGGAAGGCAAGGAATGTCACGGCATTCACTGTCACGGCCTCTTTGAACCAATTATGGTGTTTGCACTGGCAAGTGTGGAGTGTGGAGGAGTGGGGGGAAGAGTGCGTGCACACACTTGTGACTTTTGAGTCAACTTGAAGCACTTGAAGTGCCCGGGGCAGGGCATGCAAACGAGTGTGTGGGGAGGAGAGTGCACACTTGCTCTCCATGGAGGATCTTGCTTCACCTCGCTAGGGCTATCTATCAGTATACTTTGATAAGGCCGTGCAGGGCTGCATATACCGCAACTCAGAGCTCGTATGAGGGGAGACAAGAAGAGCAGATTGAGAGCAGAGTTGCAGGGGGCAGGGGTGGGGTGCAGTTGCGAGGAAAATGCAACTTCTGAATGGAAGGGGGGTAAGGGGGGGAGATGGGAGGGCGAGGAGGGGTGAGGTGCTGGGAGAGGGAAGAGGGGGGGGTATAACTGGTGTAGGATGTGGAAGGGCGTGTTACGTTCTCAGTGACATAGAAAAGGAGGGCAAAAGTGTGATGAATGTATGTGCTCACAACGTGTTTGTACCGTATGTACGGTACCATGTAATATGTTAAAGCAGCGGTATACATTTGGCAGCACTGTTGCGGCTGTACAGTAGTCAAGGCAATTTCGCCTCAACGAAGAGTGTTGGCGAAAAACTGACGCGCTTCAGTTGTGAGAGAGCCAGGGTTTCGAAGGTTGAGAGTTCAGTTCACACATTGTAAAACTATCCCGACATCACCTTCCAACAAACACACTACATAGAATAAGCATCTAATAGTACAGTAGAACAGGTGGAAGTAGCCATGGCGGGGGCTCGAGACCAGGGAAAATTTTATCAGTGTAAATCACCCTGATACCCTGATTATCAGGGTGGTTTTTGGTAGTCACACTGATGGCCTAGGGTAATTTTTTCGGGAGCTAGAATTTTCCTGATATGCCAGGGTTTACATTTAAGGCACACTGATGACTCAGGGTTACCGATTTCATAACGAGTTTAACCCTGAAGCGCGTAACATTACCCCCTTCCCCCTAACCGCCTCCCCCCCAGTTCGCCTTCGCACTTCTGTCCCAGTAGAATGGACTTTACGATTAAATTTTGAGCTATCAGAATATTCGCGTTGGAGTGACACGGTCGGTAGCTTGGACTTCGGAACGATGATGGCTCGAGACCGATTCTCGGTTCCGCGTTTTTGTTTGGAACTTCCGTAGAAACACTTCATCAGGGTATTCAAAATTGTTACACTGTGGCATGAGGGTAAATTTTTTGAAACTATGGAAAACTATTACGAGTGCAAGTGAGTGAACGAGCGAGAATTGCACTATCGAAGCAAGGGTCCAATGAGCGAAGGTATGAGCGAAGAATATATAGCGAAACTACAATGGTAACGGTAATGGTCGCGCGACGAGCCTGGGACTGAGGTTGGGAACGTGTCGAAGCGTAGGCCCGGAGCGCGGGTTACCAGCCGAGCCGTGAGGTTGGGATGTGTTAACGGGAATGGAGTGTTGGCCCCGCCCTCGCTTGGGCAACGCCGACGACTTGGTCGGATGCACGGGAGTAGCAGCCGACTGTTCACAGTGGGATAGCTGCTCGACAGGTTACGTCGAGCGGCAGCGGACCGCTGTGGTGTTGCTGTCGACCAGGATGCTCGACAGCTGCAACTGACTGGCCTGGGCGACGGGTGAGCCGTCCGGGAGGTCGACGAAGCAGTCCGTCGACCTACAGTTCGACGGGGAGGTCTACGGAGCATCCCGTCGAACTGCAGTTCGACCGGGAGGTCGACGGAGCAGTTCTGGTCGACGGAAGGGGTCCGTCGACCAAGGGGTAGCTTGACGGGAGGTGTGGTCGACCAGGAGCATCCGGTGGTCGACCAGAGAGACCCAGTGGTCGACGGGAGGCACCTGGGAGTCGACCAGAGCACCAGGGGTCGACCAGGTCGACCGGGTAACCTGCTCGACGAGTTCTGCGGAGGCACGCGAATGCCGTCGAGATCGCGATGGCGCAGGCGACTTCGGGCTGGTATCCCGAAGTCGATGTGGCTCGTCAGGCGCAGACAACAGCCGACGGATGCCCAACGAGGCAAGTCGGACCAATCGTCTGCGCACACCTGCGAGCGCGCGCACTGCTGTGTTCTACGGGGCACGCCGTCGACCTGCTTTGTTGGCAGGTCGCCCTTCTGCAGTGCTGGCGCGGCTCCTCTACGCAATGCTGGCAGGCGGTCGACCGAGCTGCGCTGGCAGTCGACCAGGCTAGCTGCAGGGTTGCTAGGTGCCTGATGTAGTCATTGTTGTCATTGCTTCTTTTATTCAATTCTGGAATTCCAACTTTGCTAGTGAAAACTCTTGCCAAATTCTTCCGTGAATGTGCAAACACTAAGGAACTAAACAAAGCTAAGATCACCTCTAGTAGTTCGTGCCCACCCCTGTAGTCTAGCTCACTACCGTTGTAGAGTTAATCTCCACATGGTGCGGTGAGCGTGGATCGAACACGCGACCTTCAGATAGGAGCCGACTTTTGCACCTACTAAGTCGTTCGTAGGCCGGCAGCAGCGATAGTCGCCATGGTCGACCCCGTAGTTGATGCGGGTGTAGCGGACACTTTGGAGGCACGTTTGGCTGATGCGAGGAGACGCCACGCGAATGGCGAGTACGGGACGATCCCCTTAGTGATCGCCGAGTTGGGCATCCGGTCGCAGTGGGCGACGGAACACCCTTCCCGTCCTGCTTCTCCTCGACCGGTGCGCAACGAAGGTGGCGTCGACGACGAGGTCGACGGTGGTGCACGAGTCAGCGGCAGCGAAGGCACGAGGCATAGAGGAGTGATCAAGGTCGACGGTGGTGTCGACGGAATCCAGGCGCGAGTGCAGGGGTCGACGGCGGCTGCAGGCAGCTCGCACGCCGACGTCGATGTTCGACGTCGCTCTCCTCTACGAAGTGGTGGCGGGCTCTCGGCGACGACGCATGTGACTGCGGGCGGGATTGCACCGGCGTATGGCTACTTCAAGTTTTTGCCGGATCGGATCACCGTCGCTCCGCTGCAAGGTCGACGGGACCTCATCACCTGGAGGGAGTCGATCGAACCTCAGCTGGAGGTCGCCGCGCTGAAGGGCTTCGCCGACGGCACTGTGCCAATTCCGCCCGAGGAGGATGTCGGGCTGCGCGGGGAGTTTCGTTCTGCTCACCTGCTCACCTTCATGGTCATCTCGAGGTGCTGCTCGCCGGTGGTACAGCTGGCGCTCAAGAGCTGTCGAGAGCGACTGGATGCTGGTCACCAGGCATGGCGCTTCATCATATCGACGTACCAGGTCAGGGACGACCTGTACATCGGGCAGCTGGAGGAGAAGATGACTCACATTCGGATGGGCGAGCAGGAGTCGGCGACGGATTACTGCAACCGTGCTCGACGGATCCTGGCTGAGATGCGAATGGCGGGCGCCGAATACTCGACGGCGTCCTACATCACCCACATCGTCAAGGGCTTGCCGCGCAGCTACAATCTCATGAAGAGGATGATGATGGTGCCTGGCACGCGTGAGTCCCTCGACGAAGACTCCATCACCAGCTACATTCTCCAAGATGAGGCGATGCAGGAGGCAGAGCAGCCCACGGAGTTCCTTCCGCAGGCGAGTTACGCTGCACCGACGAAGCCGAATTATCAGCAGGAGCAGCGCGGGAAGCCAGGCGGAAGTGGTAGCGGAGGTGGGCGGTCGACGAAGGACGTCGACGAGAAGAGGTCGACGCGGGACAAGGGTCGACGAGGTGGTGGTCGACGGCGGGAGTGCTGGGTCTGCGGCGACCCCGACCATCTCTCCTTTGAGTGCCCCGACCGCGATGAGAGCGACGAGGACGACAACAAGGAAGGCCACGGTCGATCGGCCAGTCGTCGCCCCCGTCGAGTTGAGAAGCCGCGCAAGGAGAAGCAAGCGTCGAAGAAAACGTCCTCGACGAAGGACGTCGACAGCTCCAGCGGCAAGAGCCGAGGCGACGGGGAGGCGTCGTGCTCGATGGTCGGCGTGGTGGAGCCGACGGTCTCGCTAGCACCGGAGGCTGGCGAGGACTTCCAGGCGGTGGCAGCAGCTGTGCAGGCCAGCCCGATGGCGGTGCTGCTCGACAGCGGGTGCTCCCACCACCTGATGGGGACGAAATCGGTCTTTGTTGACATGGGTCCGAGCGATGGGGTGAAGCACGTGCGTGGGTTCAACGGGGCATTGCAGCCTGTCGAGGGTCGCGGAACCGTTGCTCTGCAAGGGGAGGCCGGGAGGCGGGCTCTCATCCCCGACGTACTCTACGTTCCGGGCGTACAGGCAAACCTGTTGTCTGCTGGCCAGCTGAAGGAGAGCGGCGTGCTACTGCGGGGCGATGGCGATGAGATGTTGCTCGTCGCCGCGACTGGAGAGGTGCTCGGTCGAGCGCGCTACACCGGACGAGTCCTCTGCACCGACCTTCGCCCCTGCTCGACGCAGTCGCAGTCGACCGAGGTGGTGGCTCTGCGGACGATCGTCTCGGCGACGAAGACGACCCCCGATAGGATGCATGCGCGGCTTGCCCACGTCAGCGTCGACACGATCAAGAGCTCGGCAAAGCATGATGTTGCTACTGGGCTCGACATCACGCTGCCAACCGGAGCAGACCCGCCATGTGTCTCGTGCGTCGGAGGAAAGCTGGCGCGGCACATCTTCCCTGCCACGGGCTCGGATGCAGCGGAGGCGCTGGCTGTCGTGCACATTGACTTGTGCGGGCCATTTCGAGTGGCTGCCAAGGATGGCAGCTTGTACTTCCTGCTGTTAAAGGATCG